CCCAATAAATCCCCGATAAATTCCCAATATTTTCCCAATAAATTCCCGATATTTTCCCAATAAATTCCCGATATTTTCCCAATAAATTCCCAATAAACCCCCAATAAATTCCCCTAAAATTCCCAATAAATCCCCAATACAATCCCAATATTTTCCCAATAAATCCCCGATATTTTCCCAATATTTTCTCGATATTTTCCCAATATTTTCTCGATATTTTCCCAATATTTTCCCAATAAATCCCCGATATTTTCCCAATATTTTCTCGATATTTTCGCAATATTTTCCCAATAAATCCCCAATAAATTCCCAGTATTTTCCTAATAAATTCCCCATATTTTCCCAATATTTTCCTACTAAATTCCCAATATTCTCCCAATAAATCCCCGATATTTTCCCAATATTTTCCCAATAAATTCCCAATATTTTCCCAATAAATTCCCGATATTTTCCCAATAAATTCCCAATATTTTCCCAATAAATCCCCAATATTTTCCCAATAAATCCCCAATATTTTCCCAACAAATTCCCGATATTTTCCGGCTGTTTTCCCGATATTTTCCCACCTTTTTCGCGGAGCAGCCGGAGGGTTTCCCGGGCGCTCTGGCGGGTCTCGGCGTCGAGCTCGGGGCCGAAGCTGCGCAGCCACTCCTGCAGCGTCTGCAGCGGCGTCCGGCCCTGGGAACGCAGGAAAAACCCCAAACAGTCAGAGAAAAATCCTAAAAAATATCCTAAAAAACATCTGGAAAAAATCAGGGCAATAGCAGGGAAAACTAAAAAAAAATTCCTGAAAAAAGGGGGAAAATTCCTAAAAAATCCCAAAAAAAATCCTAAAAAATCAGAAAAAAATCGGAAAAAAAATCTGAAAAAAATCCTAAAAAATATCCTAAAACATCAGGGAAATGGCACGGAAAAAATAAAAAAAAAAAATCAGGCAAAAAAGGAGAAAATTCCTAAAAAAATCCTAAAAAACATCAGAAAAAAATGAGAAAAAAATCCGAAAAAAATCCGAAAAAATCCTAAAAAATGTCCAGAAAAAAGAAAAAAAATTCAGGGAAAAATTAAAAAAAAATTATGCAAAAAAAGGGGAAAAATTCCTAAAAAAATCCCAAAAAAATCCTAAAAAAATGTCTTGGAAAAACTAAAAAAAAAAAAAATAATGCAAAAAAAGGGAAAAATTCCAAAAACATCCCAAAAAAATCAGAAAAAAATCAGAAAAAAATCCTAAAAAATATCCTAAAACATCAGGGAAATGGCACGGAAAAAATAAAAAAAAAATCAGGCAAAAAAGGGGAAAATTCCTAAAAAAAATTTAAAAAAAATCGCAAAAAATCAGAAAAAAAAATCGGGAAAAAAATCCCAAAAAAATCCCAAAAAATGGCCTGGAAAATCAGGAAAAAAATCAGGGAAAAATACAAAAAAAAATTCGTGCAAAAAAAGGGGAAAAATTCCTAGAAAAATCAAAAAATTTCTAAAAAAATCGGGAAAAATATCTGAAAAAAATCCCCAAAAATGTCCTGAAAAATCTGGGAAATATCACGGAAAAAGTAAAAAAAAATCATGCAAAAAATTCCTAAAAAATACCCCAAAAAAATACCCAAAAAAATAAGGCAAAAATAATAAAAAAAAATCCTAAAAAATGTCCTGAAATATCAGGGAAATATCACGGAAAAATTAAAAAAAAATCACGCAAAAAAAGGGGAAAAAAATTCCTAAAAAAATCCCCAAAAAATCCTAAAAAATCATTAAAAAATCTGAAAAAAATCCCCAAAAATGTCCTGAAAAATCTGGGACATATCACGGAAAAAATAAAAAAAAAATCATGCAAGAAAGGGGAAAAAATTCCTAAAAAAATTCAAAAAAATCCGAAAAAAATCGAAAAAAAATCAGAAAAAAAATCTAAAAAAATGTCCTGAAAAATCAGGGAAATGTCACGGAAAAATTTTTTTTTAAATCATGCAAAAAAAAGGGAAAAAATTCCTAAAAAAATCCCCAAAAAAATCCTAAAAAAATCGGGAAAAAAATCCAGAAAAAAATCAAAAAAAAAATCCTAAACAATGTCCTGAAAAATCAGGAAAAATTCAGGGAAAAATTAAAAAAAAAAAATCATCGAAGAAAGGGGAAAAAATTCCTTTAAAAATCCCCAAAAAATTCTAAAATATCCTAAAAAAATCAGGAAAAAAAAAATTCTAAAAAATGTCCTGAAAAATCAGGAAAAATTCAGGGAAAAATACAAAAAAAAAATCATGCAAAAAAGGGGAAAAAAAATCCTAATTAAAAAAAAAAAATTCCTAAAAAAAAAGGAAAAAATAATACAAAAAAATCCTAAAAAAAGTCCTGAAATATCAGGGAAATATCACGGAAAAATTAAAAAAAAAATCATGCAAAAAAAGGGAAAAAATTCCTAAGAAATTAAAAAAAAATCCTAAAAAAATCAGGAAAAAAATCCGAAAAAAATCCCAAAAAATGGCCTGGAAAATCAGGGAAAAAATCAGGGAAAAATACAAAAAATAATCGTGCAAAAAAAGGGGAAAAATTCCTAAAAAAATCAAAAAAAAATCCCAAAAAAGTCCCAAAAAAATCCTAAAAAAGTCAGGAAAAAAATCTGAAAATAATCCTAAAAAATGTCCTGAAAAATCAGGAAAAAATCAGAAAAAATCAGGAAAAATCAGAAAAAAATTCAGGAAAAATTCAGAAAAAAATCTGAAAATGTATTAAAAAAAAAGCTAAAAAAAAAATCAGATAATAATACTTTAAAAAATATTAAAAATCTTTAAAAATATGAAAAAATCAGAAAAAAATCGGAAAAAAATCAGAAAAAAATCAGAAAAAAAAAATATAAAAAAAGCTAAAAAATCCGAAAATAATAATTTAAAAATCATTTAAAAATCTGAAAAAATCAGAAAAAAAAATCAGAAAAAAATCAGGAAAAAATCCGAAAAATATCAGAAAAAATCCAAAAAAATACAAAAAAAATCAGAAAAATATATTTAAAAAAGCTAAAAAAATCCGAAAACAATAATTTAAAAATCATTAAAAATCATTAAAAATCAGAAAAAACATCAGAAAAAATCAGAAAAAAATTTAGAAAAAAATCAAAAAAAAATAAGAAAAAATCAGGAAAAAATCCGAAAAAAATCAGAAAACAATCAGAAAAAAATCAGAAAAAAAAATCAGAAAAAAATCAGAAAAAAATCAGGAAAAACTCAGAAAAAAAATCAGGAAAAAATCCGAAGAAAATCAGAAAAAATCAGAAAAATATATTTAAAAAAAGCTAAAAAAAATCCGAACATAATAATGTAAAAATCACAAAAAATCTGAAAAAATCCGAAAAAAATCAGGAAAAAAATCCGAAAAAAATCAGGAAAAAAATCAGAGAAATATAAATTAAAAAAAGCTAAAAAATCAGAAAAGAATAAGTTAAAAATCATTAAAAATGAGAAAAAAAAATCCGAAAAAAATCAGAAAAAAATCCAAAAAAAATCAGTAAAAAATCAGAAAAAATTCAGAAAAAAATCAGAAAAAATCAGGAAAAAATCAAGGAAAAATCAGAAAAATATATTAAAAAAACCCTAAAATATCAGAAAATATTAGTATAAAAATCTGAAAATAATCTAAAAAAACCCAGAAAAAATCAGGAAAAATCAGAAAAAAAAATTAGAAAAAATCAGAAAAAAATCGGAAAAAAATCAAGAAAAAATCCGAAAAAAAATCAGAAAAAAAAATCAGGAAAAATTCAGAAAAAAATCAGGAAAAATTCAGAAAAAATCAGAAAAAAATCAGAAAAAAATCAGAAAAAAATCAGAAAAAAATCAGGAAAAATTCAGAAAAAATTCGGAAAAAAATCCAAACAAAATCAGAAAAAATCTGAAAAAATTCTGAAAAATCTGAAAAAATTTCAGAAAAAAATCCGAAAAAAATTGTAAAAAAATCAGAAAGAATCAGGAAAATTTCAGAAAAATTCAGAAAAAAAATGAGAAAAAAAAAATCAGAAAAAAATCAGAAAAAAATCCGAAAATAATCAGGAAAAAATCAGAAAAATTCAGAAAAAAATCCGGATAAATTTGGAATTTCTCACCTTGGCATCCCTGGCATCTAGCCAGGCATCCGGCGCGGATCAGCAGCTGCGCCATGGGGAACCTCATGGGGCAGAAATTCCCTTCAAAAATCCCCCAAAAATCAAAAAAAATCTGAAAAAAGTCAGAAAAATGTCAGAAAAAATTCTGAAAAATACATTAAAAAAAGCTAAAAAAATCTAAAAATAATAATTTAAAAATCATTAAAAATCAATTAAAATCAGAAAAAAAATCAGAAAAAATCAGAAAATAATCCGAAAAAAAACTGAAAAAACTGAAAAAAATCAGAAAAAAACCAGGAAAAAATCCGAAAAAAAAAAAATTTAGAAAAAAACCTGAAATAATCTGAAAAATATTTGAAAAAAAGCTAAAAAAATCAGAAAATAATAATTTAAAAATCTGAAAAAATCTGAAAAAAATTAGAAAAAAATCCGAAAAAAATTTGAAAAAAACATCCAAAAAAAAAAAATCATTTAAAAATCATTAAAAAATTTTTAAAAAAATCAGAAAAAATCAGAAAAAAAATCAGGAAAAATTCAGAAAAAAATCAGAAAAAAATTTTAAAAAATCAGGAAAAATCAGGAAAAATCAGGAAAAATTCAGGAAAAATTCAGAAAAAATTCGGGAAAAAATCCAAACATATTTAGAAAAAAATCTGAAAAAATCTGAAAAAAATCTGAAAAATCGGCAAAAAAATCCGAAAAAAAATCCAAAAAAAATTGTAAAAAAATCAGAAAGAAACAGGAAAATTTCAGAAAAATTCAGAAAAAAATGAGAAAAAAAAATCTGAAAAAAATCAGAAAAAAATCAGAAAGAATCAGAAAAAAATCCAAAAAAAATCCGAAAAAAATCAGAAAAAATCAGAAAAAATCTGAAAAAATTCAGAAAAAATTCAGAAAAAAATCCCTAAAAATATCCACCGAATTCCCACAGAATCCCCACCAAATTCCGTATAAAATTTGGGAATGTCTCACCTTGGCGTCCCGGGCGTCGAGCCGGGCCCCGGCGCGGATCAGCAGCTGCGCCACGGGGAACCGCCCCGAGGCCAACGCGTCGTGCAGCGGCGTCAGCCCCTCACAGCCCGGCCCGCCCGCGTCGTCCCGCGCCGCGCCCCGCGCCAGCAGCAGCCGGGCGATCTCTGAAATCATTAATTAATTAGTTAATTAGTCCTGGTCCTGATCCTGAATCTGATCCTGATCCTAAATCTGATCCTAAACACAAATCTGAGCCTGATCCTAAATCTGATCCCAAACCTGGTCCTGATCCCAACCCTGACCCCGCGCCAGCAGCAGCCGGGCCACCTCTGAGAATGGTTAATTAGTTCATTAATTAATCCTGGTCCTAAAAATAATCCTGATCCTAAACACAAATCTGATCCTAAATCTGGTCCTAAACACAAATCTGGTCCTAAAAATAAACCTGGTCCTGATCCCGTCCCTGACCCCGCGCCAGCAGCAGCCGGGCCACCTCTGAAATTGTTAATTAATTCGTTAATTAATCCTGGTCCTAAAAATAATCCTGATCCTAAAGCTGATCCTGATCCTAAACCTGATCCCAAACCTGTTCCTAAACCTGATCCTAAATTTCATCCTAAACCTGATCCTAAGCATGATCCTAAACCTGATCCTGATCCTAAACCTGATCCTGATCCTAATCCTGATCCTGATACTAAATCTGATCCTGATCCTAAACCTTATCCTGAACCTAAATGTGATCCTAAACTCAAATCTGATCCTGAACCTGATCCTAAACCTGATCCTGATCCTAAATCTGATCCTGATCCTAAACCTGATCCTAAACCTGGTCCTGATCCTAAATCTGATCCTGATCCTAAATCTGATCCTAAACCTAAATCTGATCCTAAACCTAATCCTAAATTTCTTCCTAAACCTGATCCTGATCCTAAATCTCATCCTAAACCTGATCCTGATCCTAAATCTGATCCTGATCCAAAATCTGATCCTAAACCTGATCCTAAAAATAATTCTGATCCTAAATCTGATCCTAAACCTGGTCCTAAACCTGATCCTGATCCTAAATCTGATCCTAAATCTGATCCTGATCCTAAATCTGATCCTAATCCTAAACCTGATCCTGATCCTAAATCTGATCCTGATCCTAAACCTGATCCTGATCCTAATCCTGATCCTAAACCTGATCCTAAACCTGATCCTGATCCTAATCCTGATCCTGATCCTAATCCTGATTCTGATCCTAAATCTCATCCTAAATCTGATCCTGATCCTAAACCTGATCCTGATCCTAAACCTGATCCTGATCCTAAACCTGATCCTAAACCTAAATCTGATCCTAAACCTGATCCTAAACCTGATCCTGATCCTAAACCTGATCCTAAATCTGACCCCAAACCTGATCCTAAATTTCATCCTAAACCTGATCCTAAATCTCATCCTAAATCTGATCCTGATCCTAATCCTGATCCTGATTCTAAATCTGATCCTGATCCTAAATCTGATCCTGATCCTAAACCTGATCCTGATCCTGATCCTAAACCTGATCCTGATCCTAAATCTGATCCTAAACCAAAATCTGATCCCAAACCTGATCCTAAATTTCATCCTAAACCTGACCCTAAATCTCATCCTAATCTTGATCCTAAATCTGATCCTGATCCTAAATCTGATCCTGATCCTAAACCTGATCCTGATCCTGATCCTAAACCTGATCCTGATCCTAAATCTGATCCTAAACCCAAATCTGATCCTGATCCTAAACCTGGTCCTGATCCTAAACCTGATCCTAAATCTGACCCCAAACCTGATCCTAAATTTGATCGTATATCTGATCCTGATCCTGATCCTGAATCTGATCCTAAACCTGATCCTGATCCTAAACCTGATCCTGATCCTAAACATGATCCTGATCCTAATCCCGATCCTGATCCTGATCCTGAATCTGATCCTAAACCTGATCCTGATCCTAAATTTCATCCTAAACCTGATCCTGATCCTAAACCTGATCCTAAATCTGACCCCAAACCTGATCCTAAATTTGGTCGTAAATCTGATCCTGATCCCAAACCTGATCCCAAACCTGATCCTAAATTTCATCCTAAACCTGATCCTAAATCTGATCCTGATCCTAAACCTGATCCTGATCCTAATCCCGATCCTAATCCCGATCCTGATCCTAAACCTGGTCCTGATCCTAAACCTGGTCCTAAAAAAACCCAAAAATCAGCCCTAAAAAACAACAAAAAATCCCCAAAATTATCCCCAAAAAACCCCAAAATTAGCCTTAATAAACCCCAAAATATCCCCAAAAATCAGTCCTAAACAACACCAAAAAAATCCCCAAAATTATCCCCAGAAAACCCCAAAATAGCCCTAAAAACCCCCAAAATATCCCCAAAATTACTCCTAATAAAACCCAAAACATCTCCAAAATCAGCCAAACCCCCCTCCCAAAAATCCCAAAATTTATCCCTAAAAACCCCAAAAATCCCCAAAATCAGCCCTAAAAAAACCCCCCAAAATCCCCAAAATGATCCCCAAAAAACTCCCAAAATGATCCTCAAAAAATCCCCAAAACCACCCAAAAATCCCCAAAATCAGCCCTAAAAATCAACAAAAAACCCCCCAAATCAGCCAAACCCCCCCCAAAATCCCCAAAATTATCCCTAAAAAACCCCCAAAATCCCCAAAATCGGCCCTAAAGAACACCCCAAAAAGATCCCCAAAAATCCTCAAAAAATCTCCAAAACCACCCAAAAAACCCCAAAAATCCCCAAAATCAGCCCCAAAAAACCCCCAAAAAACCCCCAAATTATCCCCAAAAAAACCCAAAAAATCCCAAAAAAACCCCAAAATTATCCCTAAAAAACCCAAAATCAGCCCTAAAAAAACCCCAAAATCCCCAAAAAAACCCAAAATTATCCCCAAAAATCCCCCCAAAAACCCAGAATTATCCCTAAAAAACCCCAAAAAAACCCCAAAATAATCCCCAAATATCCCCACAATGATCCTCAAAAAACCCCCAAAATGATCCTCAAAAAATCCCCCAAAAAACCCCAAAATTATCCCCAAAAAATCCCCAAAAATCCCCAAAATTATCCCCTAAAAACCCCAAAATTATCCCTAAAAACCCCAAAATTATCCCCAAAAAACCCAAAAAAATCCCCCAAAAAATCCCCAAAATTATCCCCAAAAATCCCCAAAATTATCCCCAAAAAACCCCAAAAATCCCCAAAAAAACCCCAAAATTATCCCCAAAAATCCCCAAAATTATCCCCAAAAAACCCCAAAAAATCCCCAAAAATCCCCAAAATCAGCCCCAAAAAACCCCCAAAAAACCCCCAAATTATCCCCAAAAAAACCCAAAAAATCCCAAAAAAACCCAAAAAATCCCCCTAAAAACCCCAAAATTATCCCTAAAAAACCCAAAATCAGCCCTAAAAAAACCCCAAAATCCCCAAATCCCCCAAAAATCCCCCAAAACCCCCAAAATCCCCCAAAATTTTCGGAAACTGCCCTCACCGAGGTGTCCGTGGTTGGCGGCCTCGTGCAGGGGGGTCCACCCGCAATAATCCCGAGGGTTCACCGGGTGACCCTGCAAAAAAACGGGAAGTTTTTGGGAATTTTGGGAATTTTTTGGGTAAAAATTTTTGGGAATTTTTGGGAATTTTTTGGGGAATTTTTTGGGATTTACCTGGTCCAGGTAGAGGCGGACCCGTTTGAGGTCGCCCTCGATGCAGGCGCGGTGCAGGGGGGTCTCGCCGCGCTCGTTCCGACGGTTCCACTGCCGGAATTTCGGGAATTTTGGGGATTTTTGGGAATGTTCCCCAGCGGGAATTTGGGAATTCTCAGCTGGGAGAGGCTCCTCCAAAAATTCCAGATTTTTTGGGGATTTTCCATCCTTTTTTGAGGATTTTTCCATCATTTTTTTTTGGATTTTCCTTCAATTTTTGGGGATTTTCCTGCAAATTTTTTGGGATTTTCCTCAAATTTTTGAGGATTTTTCCTCCATTTTTGGGGATTTTTCCTCAATTTTTTTGGTATTTTACCCCAATTTTTTTGAGGATTTTCCCTTCAAATTTTTTTGGATTTTCCATCTTTTTTTTTGGGATTTTCCTTGAGTTTTTGGGATTTTCCCTCAATTTTTTGGGATTTTCCTCAAATTTTTGAGGATTTTTCCTCAATTTTTCTGGATTGTTCCTTTTGGATTTTCCCTTCATTTTTTTGGGAATTTCCATCCTTTTTTGGGGGTTTTCCTTGAGTTTTTGGGGATTTTCTACTCAATTTTTGGGGATTTTTCACTTTTTTTTATTTTCCCCCAATTTTTTGGATTTTCCCCCAGTTTATTTGGATTTTCCTTCAATTTTTGGGGATTTTCGCTCAATTTTGGGGGATTTTTGGGAATTTTCCCAAGCGGGAATTTGGGAATTCCCAGCTGGGAGAGGCTCCTCCAAAAATTCCAGATTTTTTTTTTTTGATTTTCCCTACTTTTTTTTTGGATTTTCCATCATTTTTTTGGGATTTTTCCTTGAGTTTCCCTTCAATTTTTGGGGATTTTTCCTCATTAATTCTGGATTTTCCCCCAATTTTTTGGGATTTTCCCCCCATTTATTTGGATTTTCCTTCAATTTTTTTGGGATATTTCCACCAATTTTTGGGATTTTTCAGCCCTATTTTTATGGATTTTCCTGCAATTTTTTAAAACTTTCCAAATTTTTTTGGGACTTTCCATCAATTTTTACCTCAAATTTTGAGATTTTAGTCAATTTTTTTAGGATTTTACCCCGATTTTTTTTTCCTCACAATTTTTTGGATTTGCCTCAATTTTTGGGGGATTTTACCCCAATTTTGGGGGGATTTTCCTCCATTTTTTGAAACTTTACCTTAATTTTTTGGTTTTTTCAGACAATTTTTAGGAATTTCCCTCAATTTATCAGGATTTAACCCAAATTTTTGGGATTTTACCCCAATTTTTTTGATTTTCCCCAAATTTTTTGTCTTTTCCCCCAATTTTTTGGGGATTTTCCCTCAATTTTTGTGGCTTTTTGTGCTATTTTTGGAATTTTAGTCAAATTTTTGGGGATTTTCCTACGATTTTTTGAATTTACTCCAATTCTGGGAGATTTTCCCTCAATTTTTGGGATTTTACTCCAATTTTCTGGGATTTATCCCCAACTTTAAGAGTTTATCTCAAATTCTGGGCATTTCCCTCAATTTTTTTTTTATTTTCCCCAATTTTTGCGATTTTCCTCCCTATTCTTGTGATTTCCCCCAATTTTTTGGGGGATTTTACCTCAAATTTTGAGATTTTAGTCCAATTTTGGGGATTTTTCCATCAATTTTTAATTTTACCCCAATTTTTGGGGGATTTCCCCTCAATTTTATGGGATTTTACCTCAAATTTTGAGATTTTAGTCCAATTTTTGGGGTTTTCCATCAATTTTTCGGGATTTTACCCCAATTTTTGAGGCTTCTCCCTCAATTGTTTGAGGATTTTCCCTCAATTTTTGGGGTTTTACCCCAAATTTTTGGGGGAATTTTCCTCCAATTTTGAGAATCTCCTCCAGAATTTCAGGGATTTCTTCCAATTTTTGGGGATTTCCCCTCATTTTTTTGGGATCTTCCTCCTAAATTTTGGGATTTTACTCCATTTGGGGAAGAATTTGGGGGATTTTGGGGGATTTTTGGGAATTTTTGGGGTGCCCCACCTTGTTGCTGCGGCGCCTCCCGGGGACACTTTTGGGGTACCCCTCGAGATCTTCATCTTCATCATCTGCAAAAATCCCAAAATCGCCCCAAAATTGCCTCAGAAATCCCTAAATTCTCTTCAATACCAAATTTTAACAAATTTCCCCCAAATTTCCCCAAAATGTCCCTCAAATTCCCCCCTAAAATTCCCCAAAATCCCCCAAAAACCCCCCTAAAATTCTCAAAAATCCCATTAAATCCTCCTAAAATTCCCAAAAATCCCATTAAATCCCACTAAAATTCCCAAAAATCCCCCAAACATCCCATTAGTCCCCCTAAAATTCCCAAAAAATCCCTAAAATGCACAAAAATTCCCCAACCCCCCCAAACCTCCCAAATCCCATCAAAAATTCCCAAAAATAAATCCCCAAAATTTCCCCAAATCCCCACTAAAATCCCATTAAATCTGCTTAAAATTCCCAAAAATCCCCCAAAATCCCCCTAAAATTCCCAAAAATCCCCCAAAAATCCCCAAAGATTCCCCAAAAAGCCCCCCAAAAAATCCTCTAAAAATCCCAGTAAAATCCCCAAAATAATCCCAATAAAATCTTCCAAAAATCCCTAAAAATCATAATAAAATCCCCAAAAAATCCCCCAAAAATCATAATAAAATCCCTGAAAAATCCCCAAAATAATCCCAATAAGATCCTCCAAAAAAATCCCCAAAAATCCCCCAAATTTCCCCTAAAATCCCATTAAACCCGCTTAAAATTCCCCAAAATCCCCCCAAATCCCCCTAAAATTCCAAAAAATCCCCCAAAAATCCCCAAAGATTCCCCAAAAATCCCCCAAAAAAATTCCCGAAAAATCCCAGTAAAATCCCCAAAATAATCCCAATAAAATCCTCCAAAAAATCGCCAAAATCATAATAAAATCCCCAAAAAATCCCCCAAAAATCCCCCAAAAATCCCTCTAAAATTCCCAAAAATCCCCTGAAACCCGCGTAAAATTCCCCAAAATCCCCTGTAAAATTCTTAAAAATCCCCCAAAATCCCCTTAAAATTCCCAAAAATCCCCCTAAAATCCCCAAGGATCCCCAAAAAATCCCCAAAAATCATAATAAAATCCCTGAAAAATCCCCAAAATAATCCCAATAAAATCCCCAAAAAAAATCCCCCAAAAACCCCCAAAAACCCCCCAAAATCCCCCAAATAATCCCAATAAAACCCCCAAAAAATCCCCCAAAATCCCAATAAATTCCCCACTAAAATCCCATTAAACCCCACTAAAATCCCAAAAAAAAGCCCCAAAAATCCCCCTAAAATTCCCAAAAATCACTCCAATCCCCCTAAAAATAAGAAAAGTCCCCCGAAACCTCCCCAAACCCCCCTAAAATTCCCAAAAATTCCCAAATCCCCTCAAAATGTCCTTAAGATTTCCAAAAAATCCCCCAAAAATCATAACAAAATCCTAAAAAAATCCCCAAAAAATCCCCCAAAAATCAAAAAAAAATCCCCAAAATAATCCCAATAAAATCCTCAAAAAAAATCCCCAAAATCATTATAAAATCCAAAAAAAACCCCCCAAAAAATCCTCAAAATCCCAATAAAAACCAAAAAAATCCCCCAAAAATCCCCCAAAATCCCCCTAAAATCCCATTAAACCCCACTAAAATACCAAAAACAGCCCCAAAATCCCCCTAAAATCCCCAAGGATCCCCCAAAAATCCCCAAAAATCATAAAAAATTCCCAGTAAAATCCCCAAAATAATCCCAATAAAATCCCCCAAAATTACCCCCCAAAATTCCAGTAAAATCCCCAAAAATCCCCAAAAAATCCCCAAAATAATCCCAATAAAACCCCCAAAAAATCCCCAAAAATCATACTAAAATCCCCAAAAAATCCCCAAAAATCATAATAAAATCCCAAAAAAATCCCCAAAATAATCCCAATAAAATCCCCAAAAATCATAATAAAATCCTCCAAAATCCCCCCTAAAATCCCATTAAACCCGACTAAAATCCCCAAAAAAAGCCCCAAAAATCCCCCTAAAATCCCCAAGGATCCCCCAAAAAATCCTCCAAAAGCCCAAAAAAATCCCCAAAATAATCCCAATAAAACCCCCAAAAACTCCCCAAAAATCCTAATAAAATCCAAATAAAATCCCCCAAAATCATATTAAAATCCCCAAAAATCAAAATAAAATCCCCGAAAAATCCCCCAAAAATCATAATAAAATCCCCGGAAATCCCCCCAAAAAATCCCCAAAAATCATATTAAAATCCCCAAAAAACATAATAAAATCCCTGAAAAACCTCCAAAAAATCTCCAAAAATCCCCAAAAAATCATAATAAAATCACCCCAAAATCCCCCCTAAAATCCCATTAAACCCCACTAAAATCCCAAAAAAAGCCCCAAAAATCCCCCAAAATTCCATTGAAATCCCTCAAATTCCCCAAAAATCCCCCCTAAATCCCCAAAAATCATAAAAAAATCCCAGTAAAATCCCCAAAATAATCTCAGTAAAATCCTCCCAAAAATCCCCACAAATCATAACAAAATCAAAAAAAAAACTCCCCAAAAATTCCCCAAAAGTCATAATAAAATCACAAAAAATCCCTCAAAAAACCCAATAAAACCCCCCCTAATATCCCATTAAACCCCACTAAAATCCCAAAAAAAGCCCCAAAATAATCCCAATAAAATCCCGAAAAAATCCCCAAAAATCATAATAAAATCCCAAAAAAATCCCCAAAAATCATAATAAAATCCCCAAAAAATCCCCAAAAATCAAAATAAAATCCCTGAAAAATCCTCCAAAAATCCCAATAAAATCTCCAAAAATCATAATAAAATCCCCAAAAAATCCCCAAACCCCCCCCAAAAATCCCAGTAAAATTCCCCAAATAATCCCAATAAAATCCTGCAAAAACTCCCCAAAAATCATAATAAAATCCCCCAAAAAAATCCCCCAAAAACCCCCAAAAATCCCAATAAAATCGCAAAAAATTCCCCAAATAATCCCAATAAAATCCCCATTAAAATCCCATTAAACCCCACTAAAATCCCAAAAAAAGCCCCAAAAAATCCCCCCAAAAATCCCAATAAAATCCCCAAAAAAACCCCAAAAATCCCAATAAATTCCCAATTTAAATCCCATTAAACCCCACTAAAATCCCCAAAAAAAGCCCCAAAAATCCCCCTAAAATCCCCAAGGATCCCCCAAAAATCCCCAAAAATCATAAAAAAATCCCAGTAAAATCCCCAAAATAATCCAAACAAAATCCTCCAAAAAAATCCCCAAAATCATAATAAAATCTCCAAAAAATCCCCAAAAAAATCCCAAAAAATCAAAATAAAATCCCCGAAAAATCCTCCAAACATCCCAATAAAATCCTGCAAAAAATCTCCAAAAATCATAATAAAATCCCAAAAAAAATCCCCCAGAAACCCCCAAAAACCCTCCAAATATCCCCAAAAATCCCAATAAAACCCCCAAAAAATCCCCCAAAATCCCAATAAATTCCCCACTAAAATCCCATTAAACCCCACTAAAATCCCCAAAAAAAGCCCCAAAAATCCCCCAAAAATCCCCCAATTTTCTCTCACCACTCTCAGACAGCTCCGAATCCGATTCCTCCTCCTCTTCCTCATCTTCATCTTCATCTTCATCTTCATCTTCCTCCTCCTCCTCCCCCCGGGGGTCCCCCCCGAGCTCCTTTTGGGTCTCCTCGGCCCCCTCGGGGTCCCCGGCCCGGAGCTGCTGAGCCCGGAGCCGCCGCAGCACCCGACGCTGGAATTTGGGGAAAAAACGGCCCAAAAATGACAAAATTAAACCCAAAAAATCCCAAAAACAGCGCCAAAAACGGCCCTAAAATATAGCCAAAATAGCCCCAAAAATCGGGAACTTTGGGGGGAAAAACGGCCCAAAAATGACAAAACTAGCCCCAAAAAATCCCCCAAAACAACCCCAAAAACAGCACGAAAATATAGCCAAAGTAGCCCCAAAAATCGGGAATTTCAGGGGGCAAAACGGCCCAAAAATGGCAAAATTAACCCCAAAAAATCCACAAAAATGGCGCTAAAATATAGCTCAAACAGCCCCAAAAATAGCCCAAAAATCGGGAATTTCGGGGGGAAAAACGGTCCAAATATGCAAAAATTAACCCCAAAAAATCCAAAAAACAACCCCAAAAATCCACAAAACAACCCCAAAAATGGCCCTAAAATATAGCCAAAATACCCCCAAAAATAGCCCCAAAAATCAGGAATTTCAGGGGGAAAATGGCCCAAAAATGCCAAAATTAACCCCAGAAAATCCATAAAACAAGCCCAAAAATAGCCCTACAAAAACCCAAAAAATAGCCCAAAAATCGGGAATTTCGGGGGTAAAAGGGCCCAAAAATGCCAAAATTAACCCCAAAAAACACCCAAAGGAGCCCGGAGCCGCCACAGCACCCGACGCTGAAATTTGGGGAAAAAAGGGCCCAAAAATGCCAAAATTAAACCCAAAAAATCCCCAAAATCGGCCCTAAAATATAGCAAAAGGAGCCTAAAAAATTGCCCCAAAAATCGGGAATTTTGGGGAAAAAATGGCCCAAAAATACCAAAATTAGCCCCAGAAAATCCACAAAACAACCCCAAAATGGCCCTAAAATATAGCCAAAACAGCCCCAAAAAATTGCCCCAAAAATCGTGAATTTCGGGAGGAAAAACGTCCAAATATGCAAAAATTAACCCCAAAAAATCCACAAAAGAGCCCCAAAAATAGCCCTACAAAATCTCAAAACAACCCCAAAAAACCCAAAGTAGCCCCAAAAACGGCCCTAAAATATCTCCAAAACAGCCCCAAAAATCAGAAATTTCAGAGGGAAAATGGCCCAAAAGTGTCAAAATTAACCCCAAAAAATCCCCCAAAACGGTCCTAACATATAGCCAAAATAGCCCCAAAAATTGCCCCAAAAATCGGAAATTTCGGGGGGAAAAACGGCCCAAAAATGACAAAATTAGCCCCAAAAAACCCCCAAAAATGGCCCTAAAATGGCCCTAAAATATCCCAAAAGAGCCTCCAAAATAGCCCTAAAAATCCCAAAACAGCCCCAAAATTATCCACAAAAAAAACCCCAAAAGAGCCCCAAAAATTCCAAAATTAGCCCCAAAACATCCCAAAACAACCCCAAAAATGGCCCTAAAATATCTCCAAAACAGCCCCAAGAATCAGAAATTTCAGAGGGAAAATGCCCTAAAAATACCAAATTTAACCCCAAAAAACACCCAAAGGAGCCCGGAGCCGCCGCAGCACCCGACGCTGGAATTTGGGGAAAAAAGGGCCCAAAAATGGCAAAATTAACCCCAAAAAAGTCCCCAAAATCGGCCCTAAAATATAGCCAAAATAGCCCCAAAAATAGCCCCAAAAATCAGGAATTTTGGGGGGAAAATGGCCCAAAAATGCCAAAATTAACCCCAAAAAATCTCAATTTCTGCCCCTAAAATGGCCCTAAAATATCTCAAAAAAAGTCCCAAAAATCTCGAATTTCAAGGGAAAAATGGCCCAAAAATGACAAAATTGGCCCCAAAATTACCCCAAAATTGGGAATTTTGTGGAGAAAAATGGCGCAAAAATGCCAAAATTAACCCCAAAAAAATCCACAAAAATGGCGCTAAAATATAGCCCAAACAGCCCCAAAAATAGCCCAAAAATCGGGAATTTTGGGGGGAAAATGGCCCAAAACCACCAAAATTAACCCCAAAAAATCCACAAAACAACCCCAAAAATAGCCCTACAAAAACCCAAAAAATAGCCCCAAAAATCGGGAATTTCGGGGGGAAAATGGTCCAAAAATGCCAAAATTAACCCCAAAAAACACCCAAAGGAGCCCGGAGCCGCCGCAGCACCCGACGCTGAAATTGGGAATTTTGGGGGAGAAATGGTCCAAAAATGGCAAAATTAACCCCAAAAAACAGCCAAAGGAGCCCGGAGCCGCCGCAGCACCCGACGCTGGAATTTGGGGAAAAAAGGGCCCAAAAATGGCAAAATTAAACCCAAAAAATCCACAAAAAAAACCCCAAAATGGCCCTAAAATATAGCAAAAATAGCCCCAAAAATCGGGAATTTCGGGGGAAAAACGGTCCAAAAATGACAAAATTAACCCCAAAACATCCACAAAACAACCCCAAAAATGGCCCTAAAATATAGCCAAAAAAGCCCCAAAACAACCCCAAAAATCCCCAAAGTAGCCCCAAAAACGGCCCTAAAATATCTCCAAAACAGCCCCAAGAATCAGAAATTTTGGAGGGAAAACGGTCAAAAAATGTCAAAATTAGCCCAAAAAAATCGTCCAAACAACCCCAAAAATAGCCCCAAAAATCGGGAATTTCGGGGGGCAAAATGGCCCAAAAATGGCAAAATTAACCCCAAAAAAATCTCAATTCCTGCCCCCAAAATGACCCTAAAATATCCCAAAAGAGCCCCAAAAAATAGCCCAAAAATCAAGAATTTCGGGGGGAAAAGGGCCCAAAACCAGCAAAATTAACCCCAAAAAAATCTCAATTCCTGCCCCAAAATGGCCCTAAAATATCTCCACAAAAGCCCCAAAAACAGCCCCAAAAATCCCTAAAGTCGCCCCAAAAATATCCCCCAAAAAACCCAAAAGAGCCCCAAAAACGGCCCTAAAATATCTCCAAAACAGCCGCAAAAATCTTGAATTTCAAGGGGAAAATGGCCCAAAAATGCCAAAATTAACCCCAAAAAATCCACAAAAAGAGCCCTAAAATATAGTTCAAACAGCCCCAAAAATAGCCCAAAAATCGGGAATTTCGGGGGGAAAAACGGTCCAAAAATACCAAAATTAACCCCAAAAAATCCACAAAACAACCCCAAAAATCCACAAAACAACCCCAAAAATGGCCCTAAAATATAGCCAAAATACCCCAAAAATTGCCCCAAAAAATCGGACATTTCGGGGGGAGAAATGGCCCAAAAATGCCAAAATTAACCCCAAAAAATCCTCCAAACAACCCCAAAAATAGCCCTAAAATATCCCAAAAGAGCCCCAAAAATAGCCCAAAAATTGGGATTTCCGGGGGGAAAAGGGCCCAAAAACGGCAAAATTAGCCCCAAAAAATCCCCCAAAACAACCCCAAAAACAGCACGAAAATATAGCCAAAATAGCCCCAAAAATCGGGAATTTTGGGGGAAAATGGCCCAAAAATGCCAAAATTAACCCCCAAAAATCCCCCAAAGTGGTACTAAAATATAGCCAAAATAGCCCCAAAAATAGCCCAAAAATCGGGAATTTCAAGGGAAAATGGCCCAAAAATGGCAAAAGTAACCCCAAAAAATCTCAATTCCTGCCCCCAAAATGGCCCTAAAATATCCCAAAAGAGCCCCAAAAATAGCCCTAAAATATCCCAAAAGAGCCCCAAAATTATCCACAAAAAAACCCCAAAAGAGCCCCAAAAACGGCCCTAAAATATCTCCAAAACAGCCCCAAGAATCAGAAATTTCAGAGGGAAAATGGCCCAAAAATGCCAAAATTAACCCCAAGAAATACACAAAACCACCCCAAAAATAGCCCTACAAAAACCCAAAATATAGCCCCAAAAATCGGGAATTTCGGGGGGAGAAATGGCTCAAAAATGCCAAAATTAAACCCCAAAAAGTCCCAAAGGAGCCCGGAGCCGCCGCAGCACCCGGCGCTGGAATTTGGGGAAAAAACGGCCCAAAAATGGCAAAATTAACCCCAAAAAATCCACAAAACAACCCCCAAAAATAGCCCTACAAAAACCCAAAAAACAGCCCCAAAAATCCGGAATTTCGGGGGGGGAGAAATGGCTCAAAAATGCCAAAATTAACCCTAAAAAATCCACAAAACAACCCCAAAAATAGCCCTAAAATATCCCAAAAGAGAGCCCTAAAATTCCCCCAAAAAATCCCCAAAAAAAGCCCCAAACATCCCTAAAAATTCCCAAAAAATCAAAAAATATTCCCAAAAAATTCAAAATATTCCTAAAAAATCAAAAAAATTCAAAAAAATCCCTAAAAAAAACCCCAAAAAATCCCCAAAAAACCCCAAACATCCCACGAAATTCACAAAAACTCCTAAAAATTCCCAAAAATTCCTAAAAATTGTCTAAAAATTTCCAAAAAATCAAAAAAAATACAAAAAAATCCAAAAAAATCCTTCAAAAAAACCCCAGAAATCCTTTAAAAAGCTCCAAAATGCCCTAAAATCCCCCCAAAATGCCCTAAAATCCCCCCAAAATGCCCTAAAATCCCCCCAAAATGCCCTAAAATTCCACAAAAATTCCCCAAAATTCCGTAAATTCCCAAAATTCCGTAAATTCCCAAAATTCCCACCTGTAGCCGTTCATCCCCGGCGCTCCGGGCGCAGCCCAGGGCCCCAAAAAATCCCCGAAACAATCCCAAAATAATAAAAAAAAATCCCAATTAATCCCAAAAATTCATTAAAAAATCCCCAAAATTTCCTAAAAAAATTCCCAAAATTTTCTAAAAATTCCAAAAAATCCCCAAAAAATCACCAAAAATTCCCAAAAATCCAAAACATTCCTAAAAAAATCCCTAAAAAATCCCAAAAAATCCTTAAAAAACCTTCTAAAAGCCCTAAAATCCCCCAAAAAAATCCTAAAAAATTCCAAAAAATTCCCAAAATTCCCAAAATTCCCACCTGTAGCCGTTCATCCCCGGTGCTCCGGGCGCATCCCAGAGCCCCAAAAAATCCCTGAAATATCCCCAAAAAATTAAAAAAGAATCCAAATTAATCCCAAAAATTCCTAAAAAAATCCCCAAAATTTCCTAAAAAAATTCCCAAAATTTTCTAAAAATTCCCAAAAATCCCCAAAAATTCCTAAAAAATCCCAAAAATTCCCAAAATTCCCAAATTCCCATCTGCAGTTGGGGGTTGCTGATGCTCAAACAGTCCATCAAAAATACCTAAAAAAATCCCTAAAAATCCCCCAAAAAAGCCCCAAACAGCCCAAAAAATTCCCAGGAATTCTTAAAAATTCCCCAAAAAATTCCAAAATATCCCAAAAATTCCCAAAAATTACTAAAAAATGTCTAAAAATTCCAAAAAAATCCCAAAAAATCAAAAAAAAAAGAAAACGTAAAAAAACCCCAAAAATCCCAAAAAATTCCCAAAAATCCTTACAATTCCAAAAATATTCCCAAAAAACAAAAAATATTCCCAAAAAATCCAAAACTATTCCCAAAAAATCCCAACAATTCCTGAAAAATCCCTCAAAAAACCTTTAAAAATCCTTTTAAAAGCTCCCAAAATGCCCTAAAATCACCCCAAAAATCCAAAAAAAATCTCAAAAAATTCCCCAAAAATTCCCAAAATTCCGGAAATCCCTAAAATTCCCAAAAATCCCTAAAATTCCCACCTGTAGCTTCAGATCCCCGGCGCTCCGGGCGCACCCCAGGGCCCCCAAAAAATCCCCAAAATTCACCAAAAAAACCCTAAAAAATCCCAAAAAATACCCCCAAAATGCCCCAAAATGCCAAAAAAAATTCCGAAGTTCCCAAAAATTCCCAAAAATTCTGAAAAAATTCTCAAAAAAATCCCAGAAATGCCCAAAAATTCTTAAAATTCCTGAATTCCCACCTGCAGCGGGGGGTCACTAATGCTCCAAAAGTCCCTTAAAAATGCCACCAAAAATCACTAAAAATCCCAAAAAAAAGCCCCAGGCATCCCAAAAATTCCTAAAAATTCCAAAAAAGTTGCCTAAAAAATTCCCAAAAAATCTTAAAAATTCCCAAAAATCCCAAAAAATCCCAAAAATTCTGAAAAAAATCCCAAGAAGTCCCTCAAAAAACCCCAAAAAATCCTTTAAAACCCCCTCAAAATGCCCTAAAATCCCCCCAAAAAATCCTAAAAAATTCCCAAAAATTCCCAAAATTCCGGAAATCCCAAAAATTCCCAAAAATTCCCGAAATTCCCACCTGTAGCCGTTCATCCCCGGCGCTCCGTGCGCAGCCCAGAGCCCCAAAAAATCCCCGAAATATCCCCCAAAAGTTAAAAAAAGAATCTCAAATAATCCCAAAAATTCCTAAAAAAATCCCCAAAAATCCCTAAAAAAATCCCAAAAATTTCCTAAAAATTCCCAAAAATCCCCAAAAGTTCAAAAATATTCCCAAAATCCAAAAATTCCTCCAAAAATCCTCAAAAAACCCCAAAAAATCCTTTAAAAACCTTCCAAAAGCCCTAAAATCCCCCCAAAAAATCCCCCCAAAAAATTCCCCAAAAATGCCGCAAAATGTCCTAAAAATTCCCAAATTTTCCTGAAATTCCCAAAATTCCCGAAATTCCCACCTGTAGCTTCGTGTCCCCGGCGCTCCGGGCACACCCCAGAGCCCCAAAACATCCCTGAAACAGTCCCGAAAAAATCCCGAATAATCCCAAAAATTCCTAAAAAATCCTAAAAATTGTCTAAAAATTCCCAAAAAATCCTAAAAATTCCCAAAAAATCCCCAAAATTCCCAAAAATCCCTAAAAAACCCCCAAAAATCAAAAAACTTCCTAAAAAAACTCAAAAAATGCTTCAAAAATCCCAAAAAATCCTTTAAAAACCTCCCAAAATGCCCTAAAATCCCCCAAAAAATGCCCTAAAATTCCACAAAAATTCCCCAAAAAATTCCGGAAATTCCCGAAAATTCCCGAAAATTCCCAAAATTCCCGAATTTTCACCTGCAGCCAGGTGTCCCCAGCCCTCCGGGCGCATCCCAGAGCTCCAAAAAAAACCTCCCAAAATTCCCTAAAATCCCCCCAAAAAATCCCAAAAATTCCCCAAATTCCAAAAAATTCCAAAAAAATTCTAAGAATTCCCAAAAAATTACCAGAAATCCACAAAAAATTTTTAAAAATTCCCAAAAAAGAAAAAAATTCTTTTAAAATCCCTTTAAAAACCCAAAAAAATCCTTTAAAAACCTCCCAAAATGCCCTAAAATCCCCCAAAAAAATCCCCAAAAAATCCCAAATTTTCCCAAAATTCCCGAAATTCCCAAAATTCCCAACGATTCCCGAAATTCCCACCTGTAGCTTCACATCCCCGGCGTTCCGGGCACACCCCAGAGCCCCAAAAAATCCCTGAAATATCCCCAAAAAATTTTTTTAAAAATCCCAAATAATCCCAAAAATTCCTAAAAAAATCCCCAAAATTTCCTAAAAAAATTCTGAAAATTTTCTAGAAATTCCCAAAAATCCCCAAAAATTCCTAAAAATCCCCAAAATAACCAAAACCCCTCCAAAAATCCCTCACAAAACCCAAAAAAATCCTTTAAAAACCTCCCAAAATGCCCTAAAATTCCCTCAAAAAAATCCTAAAAAAATCCAAAAAATGCACCAAAATTCTCAAAAAATTCCCAAAATTCCCAAAAATTCCCAAAATTCCCACCTGGAGCTGTGCATCCCCGGCCCTCCGGGCACATCCCAGAGCCCCAAAAAATCCCCAAAATTCATTAAAAAACCCCAAAAATCCCCCAAAAATCCCCAAAATCTCTAAAAATTCTGAAAAAAATTCCCAAAAAAATTTCCCAAAAAATTGTTAAATTGTCCCGAAATTAAAAAAAATTCCCAAAAATCCCCAAACTTCCTAAAAAAACCTCAAAAAATCCTTCAAAAAAAGCCAAAAAATCCTTTAAAAAGCTCCCAAAATACCCTAAAATCCCCCAAAAAAATACTAAAAAAATCCCAAAAAATCCCAAATTTTCCCAAAATTCCCAAAATCCCCGGAATTCCCACCTGTAGCCGTTCATCCCCGGCGCTCCGGGCGCAGCCCAGAGCCCCAAAAAATCCCTGAAATTTACCAAAAAAGACCTCAAAAAAATCCTTTTAAAACCACCAAAATGCCCCAAAATTCCCGAAAATTCTCAAAAATTCCAAAAAAATTCCCAAAAAAATTCCAGAAGTTCCCAAAACTTCCCAAAATTCCCGAATTCCCACCTGCAGTCCGGGGTCACTGATGGTCTAAAAGTCCCTCAAAAGTGGCCCAAAAAATCCCTAAAAATCCCCCCAAAAAACCCAATTATCCCAAAAAATTCTCAAAAAATCCTAAAAAATCCTAAAAATTCCCAAAATAATTGTAAAAATTAAAAAAAAAAGCCAAAAATTTCCAAAAAAATTCCAAAAAATCCTAAAAAATCCCAAAAAAAATCCCTAAAAAACCCCAAAAATCCCCAAAAAATCCCAAACATCCCAAAAAATTCCCCAAAAATTCTAAAAATCCAAAAAAATTCCTAAAAAATTGCCAAAAATTCCTAAAAAATGTCTAAAAATCCCAAAAATTCTGAAAAAAACCCAAGAAATTCCAAAAAATCCTGAAAACTCAAGAAAATCCCTAAAAACCCCGAAACATTCCCAAAAATTCCTAAAAATTCCAAAAAAATCCCAAAAATTCCTAAAAATTGTCTAAAAATTCCCAAAAAAATAAAAAAAATTATGAAAAAATCCAAAAGAATCCTTCAAAAAAACCCCAAAAATCCTTTAAAAACCTCCCGAAATGCTCTAAAATCCCCCAAAAAATCCCAAAAAATTCCCCAAAATGCCCTAAAATTCCACAAAAATCCCCCAAAATTCCCAAAATTCCAGGAAATTCCCCAAAATTCCCAAATTCCCACCTGGAGCCGTTCATCCCCGGCGCTCCGTGCACACCCCAGGGCGTTCCGCAGGGGGTTCAGGATCTGCGCCGGCGCCGCCCCCGAATCCTCCAGAGCCGCCGCCACGTTCAGCCACGTCCGGCACGACTGCGGATTTTGGGGGATTTTGGGAATTTTTGGGGGGAATTTTGGGGGGAATTTTGGGGGATTTTTGGGGGATTTTTGGGGGGAATTTGGGAAATTGGGATTTGGGTTCTGGGGGTTTGGGGTTTGGGATCAGGAATTTTGGGGTTTTGGGGATGTGGGATTTGAGGTTTTGGGGATTTTGGGATCAGGAATTTTGGAATTTGGGGATTGTGGGTTTGGGGTTTGGGGAATTTGGGATTTTGGGAAATTTGGCAATTTTGGGAAGTTTGGGGTTTGGGATTTTGGGATCAGGAATTTTGGGGATTTGGGGTTTGGGGATTTGGGATTTGGGGTTTTGGGGTTTGGGGTTTTGGAGTTTGGGGTTTTTGGGATCAGGAATTTTGGGGGTTTGGGATCAGGACTTTTGGGGATTTGGGGATTTGGGATCAGGAATTTTCGGGATTTTTGGGAATTTAGGGATTTGGGATCAGGAATTTAGGGAATTTGGGGACTTGGGATCGGGACTGTTCGGATTCGGGACTTCAGGAATTTTGGGATTCTGGGATCCGGAATTTGGGGATTTGGGAATTTGGGGATTTGGGGATTTTGCGATTTGGGGTTTGGGGATTTGGGATCAGGAATTTTGGGAATTTGGAATTTTGGATTTGGGATTTGGGGTTTGGGATTTGGGGTTTGAGGATTGAGGATCAGGGATTTGGGATTTTGAGGATTTTGGGAATTCAGGAATTTTGGGGTTTGGGGGATTTGGGATCAAGAATTTAGGGATTTGGGATTGGGAAATTTGGCAATTTTGGGAAGTTTGGGGTTTGGGATTTTGGGATCAGGAATTTTGGGAATTTGGGATTTGGGCTTTGGGATTTGGGGTTTGGGAATATGGGATCAGGAATTTAGGGATTTGGGATTGGGAAATTTGGCAATTTTGGGAAGTTTGGGGTTTGGGATTTTGGGATCAGGAATTTTGGGGTTTTGGGGATTTGGGATTTGAGGTTTTGGGAATTTTGGGATCAGGAATTTTGGGAATTTGGGGATTTGGGATCAGGAATTTTCAGGATTTTTGGGGATTTTGGGATTTGGGGATTTGAGGATTTAGGGATTTGGGATCAGGAATTTAGGGAATTTGGGGACTTGGGATCGGGACTGTTCGGATTCGGGACTTCAGGAATTTTGGGATTCTGGGATCGGGAATTTGGGGATTTGGGATTTTGGATGGGATTTTGGTGGTTTGGGATCAGGAGTTTGGAGACGTACGATCAGAAATTTCAGGTTTTTGGGACTTCGGGATTTTGGGAATTTGGGATGGAATTTTGGGAATTTGGGATGGGAAATTTGGGAATTTGGGATGGAATTTTGGGAATTTTGGATCAGGAATTTGGGATTTAGGATCGGGAATTTGGGGATTTAGGACTTTGGGAATTTTGGGATTTTGGTGATTTAGGATCAGAATTTTGAGGATTTGGAATGGGAATTTTGGGATTTTGGGGATTTGGGATCGGGAATGTTTGGATTTTGGGAATTTGGGATCGGGAATTTTGGGAATTTGGGGATTTTGTGATTTAGGATCAGGAATTTGGGATTTAGGATCTGGAATTTCGGGATTTAGGATTGGGAATTTTGGATTTTGGTGATTTAGGATCAGAATTTTGAGGATTTAGGAGCGGGAACTTTGGGATTTTGGGAATTTGGGATGGGAAATTTGGGAATCTTGGATCAGGAATTTGGGGATTTAGGATCGGGAATTTTGGGAATTTCGGATTTTGGATGGAATTTTGGTCGTTTGGGATCGGGAATTTGTGGACGTATGATCAGGAATTTCGGATTTTGGCAATTTTGGGATGGAATTTTGGGAATTTGGGATGGGAATTTCGGGATTTTGGGAATGTTGGGATCGGGAATTTGGGGATTTGAGATCAAGAATTTGGAATGGGAATTTTGGGAATTTTGGATCAGGAATATGGGATTTAGGATCGGGAATTTTGGGGATTGAGGATCAGGAATTTGGGGTCTGGGATGCGATTTTGGGGATTTTGAATGGGGAATTTTGGGATTTGGGGATTTTGGGGTGAGGCTTTTGGGGATTTGGGATCAGGAATTTGGGATTTTCGGTTTGGGGTTTGGGATGAGGATTTTGGGGATTTGGAATCGGGATTTGGGGGATTTGTGGATTTTGGGGATTTGGGATCGGGAATTTTGGTGGGAATTTGGGATCGGGAGTTTGGGGACTTAACAATCAGGAATTTCGGGATTTCAGGATTTTTGGAATTTGGGATGAGGAAATTTGGGAATTTTGGGATAGGAAATTTGGGATCGGGAATTTGGGGATTTGGAATGGGAATTATGGGAATTTGGGGATTTGGGATTTTGGATGGGATTTAGGTGGTTTAGAATCAGGAATTTGGGGATTTAGGAGCGGGAATTTGGGATTTTGGTGATTTAGGATCAGAATTTTGAGGATTTAGGAGCGTGAATTTCGGGATTTTGGCAATTTTGGGATGGAATTTTGGGAATTTGGGATCAGGAATTTGGGATTTAGGAACAGGAATTTTGGGAATTTGGGAATTTCATATTTTGGATGGGATTTTGGTGGTTTGGGATCAGGAGTTTGGAGACGTATGATCAGAAATTTCGGGTTTTTGGGATTTTGGGATTTCGGGTTTTTGGGATTTCAGGATTTTGGGAATTTGGGAATTTCGGGATTTTGGGAATTTCGGGATGGGAATTTCGGGATTTTGGGGTTCCCACCTCCAGGGGCTCCCCGTTCCTGAGCTCCAGCTCCCTCTGGAAGTGCTCCAGGGCCCGGGAATGCGGGAACGGGGATGGATTTGGGATCGGGAATTTCGGGAATTTCGGGATTTTGGGAATTTGGGATCGGGAATTCTGGGGATTTTAGGATTTAGGACTGGGAATTTGGGGTTTAGAATCAGGAATTTGGGGATTTAGGATCGAGAATTTGGGGTTTACAATCAAGAGTTTGGCCCGGGGATTTGGGATCAGGAATTTTGGGGATTTGAGATCAAGAATTTGGAATGGGAATTTTGGGAATTTTGGGAATTTGGGATCAGGAATTTGGATTTAGGATCGGGAATTTGGGATTTAGGATTGGGAATTTTGGGATTTTGGATGGGATTTTGGTGGTTTGGGATCAGGATTTTGGGGACTTAATGATCAGGAATTTCAGGATTTTGGCAATTTTGGGATGGAAATTTTGGGAATTTGGGATGGGAAATTTGGGATTTCGGGTTTGGGGTTTGGGATTTTTGGGAATTTTGGGGATTTGGGCTTGGGAATTTTGGGATTTGGGATCAGGAGTTTGGGACTTACGATAAGGAGTTTCGGGATTTCAGGATTTTGGGAATTTGGGATGTAATTTTGGGAATTTGGGGTGGGAAATTGGGGAATTTGGGATTTGGGATCAGGAATTTGGGGATTTAGGATCAGGAATTTTGGGAATTTGGGGATTTGGGATTTTGGATGGGATTTTGGTGGTTTGGGCTCAGGAGTTTGGAGACGTGTGATCAGGAATTTTGGGAATTTGGGAATTTTGGGATGGAATTTTGGGAATTTGGGGATTTAGGATTGGGAATTTTGGGATTTTAGGATTTAGGACTGGGAATTTGGGGTTTAGAATCAGGAATTTGGGGATTTAGGATCGGGAATTTGGGGATTAGAGATCAAGAATTTGGAATCGGAATTTTGGGAATTTTGGATCAGGAATATGGGATTTCGGATCGGGAATTTTGGGAATTTGGATGAGATTTTGGTGGTTTGAGATCGGGAATTTGGGGATTTTGGTGATTTAGGATCAGAATTTTGAGGATTTGGAATGGGAATTTTGGGATTTTTGGGGATTTGGGATCGGTAATTTTTGGATTTTGGGAATTTGGGATTGGGAATTTTGGGAATTTGGGGATTTGGGATTTCGGAGGTTTGGGATCGGGAATTAGGGGATTTAGGAGCGGGAATTTGGGATTTTGGTGATTTAGCATCAGAATTTTAGGGATTTAGAATGTGAATCTTGGGATTTTGGGAACAGGGATGGATTTGGGATCCCGATTTTGGGATTTTGGGGATTTGGGATTGGGAATTTTGGGATTTTGGGGATTTAGGATCGGGAATTTGGGATTTAGAATGAGGAATTTGGGGATTTAGAATGGGAATTTGGGATTTTGGTGATTTAGGATCAGAATTTTGAGGATTTAGGAGCGTGAATTTCGGGATTTTGGCAATTTTGGGATGGAATTTTGGGAATTTGGGATCAGGAATTTGGGATTTAGGAACAGGAATTTTGGGAATTTGGGAATTTCATATTTTGGATGGGATTTTGGTGGTTTGGGATCAGGAGTTTGGAGATGTATGATCAGAAATTTCGGGTTTTTGGGATTTTGGTGATTTAGTATCAGAATTTTGGGGATTTAGAATGGGAATTTCAGGATTTTGGGAATTTGGGATGGAATTTTGGGATGGGAATTTTGGGATTTTGGGAATTTTGGGACGGTAACTTTGGGATTTCAGGGTTCCCACCTCCAGGGGCTCCAAGGCCCGGGAATGTGGGAATGGGGATGGATTTGGGATCACGATTTTGGGATTTTGGGATGGAATTTTGGATCAGGAATTTGGGGATTTGAGATCAGGAATTTGGGATGGGAATTTTGGGAATTTTGGGATTTGGGATCAGGAATTTGGGGATTTAGGATCGGGAATTTTGGGAATTTGGGGATTTGGGATTTTGGATGGGATTTTGGTGGTTTGGGATCAGGAGTTTGAGGACGGGAATTTCGGGTTTTTGGGATTTCAGTATTTTGGGAATTTAGGATGGAATTTTGGGAATTTAGGATCAGGAATTTTGGGAATTTGGGGATTTTGGTGGTTTGGGATCGGGAATTTGGGGATTTAGGAGCAGGAATTTTGGGATTTTGGTGATTTAGGATCAGAATTTTAGGGATTTAGAATGGGAATTTCGGGATTTTGGGGAATTTAGGATCGGAATTTGGTGAATTTGGGGATTTGGGATTGGGAATTTTGGGAATTTCGAGATTTTGGGGATTTAGGATAGGAATTTTGGGATTTTGGGAATTTTGGGATAGGAATTTCGGGAATTTGGGGTTCCCACCTCCAGGGGCTCCCCGTTCCTGAGCTCCAGCTCCCTCTGGAAGTGCTCCAGGGCCCGGGAATGCGGGAACGGGGATGGATTTGGGATCGGGAATTTCGGGATTTTGGGAATTTGGGATCAGGAATTCCCGGATTTTGGGGATTTAGGATTGGGAATTTTGGGATTTTGGGGATTTGGGGATTTAGGATCAGGAATTTGGGGATTTAGGATCGGGAATTTGGGGATTTAAGATCGGGAATTTGGGGATTTAAGATCGGGAATTTGGGATTTGGGATCAGGAGTTTCGGGATTTCAGGATTTTGGGAATTTGGGATGGAATTTTGGGAATTTGGGGTGGGAAATTTGGGAATTCTGGGATTTAGGATCAGGAATTCAATATTTAGGATCGGGAATTTTGGGGATTTGGGATTTTGGATGGAATTTTGGTGGTTTGGGATCGGAAATTTGGGGACGTATGATCAGGAATTTTGGGATTTTCGGAATTTTAGGATGGAATTTTGGAATTTTGGGACGGGAAATTTGGGAATTTGGGGTTCCCACCTCCAGGGGCTCCCCGTTCCTGAGCTCCAGCTCCCTCTGGAAGTGCTCCAGGGCCCGGGAATGCGGGAACGGGGATGGATTTGGGATCGGGAATTTCGGGATTTTGGGAATTTTGGGATCGGGAATTTTGGGATTTTGGGGATTTGGGATCAGGAATTCCCAAATTTTGGGGATTTAGGATCGGGAATTTTGGGATTTTGGGGATTTGGATGGGATTTTTGTGGCTTGAGATCGGGAATTTGGGGATTTTGGTGATTTAGGATCAGAATTTTGAGGATTTGGAATGGGAATTTTGGGGATTTGGGATCGGGAATTTTTGGATTTTGGGAATTTTGGATTGGGAATTTTGGGATTTTGGGAATTTGGGGATTTAAGATCGGGAATTTCGGGTTTAGAATCAGGAATTTGGGGATTTAGGAGCGGGAATTTTGGATTTTGGTGATTTAGGATCAGAATTTTAAGGATTTGGGATGGGAATTTCAGAATTTTGGGAATTTTGGGATAGGAAATTTGGGAATTTGGGGTTCCCACCTCCAGGGGCTCCCCGTTCCTGAGCTCCAGCTCCCTCTGGAAGTGCTCCAGGGCCCGGGAATGCGGGAACGGGGATGGATTTGGGATCGGGAATTTCGGGAATTTGGGGAATTTTGGGGCGGGAATTTTGGGATTTAGGATCGGGAATTTTGGGAATTCTGAGAATTTGGGGATTTTGGATCTGGAATTTGGGGTTTAGAATCAGGAATTTGGGGATTTTGGATCAGGAATTTGGGGATTTAGGATCAGGAGTTTGGCCCAGGGATTTGGGATTGGGAATTTGGGGGTTTGGGATCAGGAATTTGGGATGGGAATTTTGGGAATTTTGGGAATTTTGGATCAGGAATTTGGGATTTAGGATTGGGAATTTTGGGAATTTGGGGATTTGGGATTTTGGTGGTTTGGGATCTGGAATTTGGGGATTTAGGAGTGGGAATTTTGGGATTTTGGTGATTTAGGATCAGAATTTTGATGATTTGGAATGGGAATTTTGGGATTTTGGGGAATTTAGGATCGGGAATTTGGGGAATTTGGGGATTTGGGATTGGGAATTTTGGGAATTTGGGGATTTGGGATTTTGGTGGTTTCAGATGGGAAATTTTGGGATTTAGGAGCAGGAATTTGGGGATTTTGGTGATTTAGGATCGGATTTTTGGGGATTTAGAATGGGAATTTTGGGATTTTGGGAATTTTGGGATGGGAAATTTGGGAATTTTGGGTTCCCACCTCCAGGGGCTCCCCGTTCCTGAGCTCCAGCTCCCTCTGGAAGTGCTCCAGGGCCCGGGAATGCTGCCCCAGGTCCCGGAAGGTCGTGGCCAGCGAGACGTGGATCACGGCCAGGTCCCGGCCCGGCAGCGCCGCCGCCTCCGCCAGCTCCAGCTGAAAAATTCCGGGAAAAAATCGGGAAAAGGGGAAAAAAATCAGCCACAAAATGAGGAAATAAATAGGGGTGAAATGGGAAAAAAAATGGGTGGGAGAATGAGGGAAAACGGGGGAAAATGGGGGGAAATGGGGGAAAATCGGGAAAAATCGGGAAAAAATCAGAAAAAATCGGGAAAAAAATCAGGGGAAAATCAGGAAAAAATCGGGAAAAAATCAGGAAAAAATCGAGGAAAAAATAAGGAAAAAATCGGGAAAAGGGGAAAAAAATCAGCTTCAAAATTAGGAAATAAATAGGGGTGAAATGGGAAAAAAATTGGGTGGGAGAATGAGGGAAAATGGGGAAAAAATGGGGGAAAAAATCGGGAAAAATCAGAAAAAATGAGGGAAAAAAATCAGGAAAAAATCAGGAAAAAATCAGAAAAAAATCAGGAAAAAAATCAGGGAAAAATCAGAAAAAATCAGGAAAAAATCCTAAAAAATCAGAAAAAAAAAAATTCCCCAAAACTAAGGAAAAAATCCCAAAAAAATCAGAAAAAAAAATCCTCAAAAATCCCCCAAAAATCAGAAAAAAAATCCCCAAAAAATCAGAAAAAAATCATCAACGATCCCCAAAAAAATCAGAAAAATCCCCAAGAAATCAGTACAAAAGCCTGAAAATCAAGGAAAAAATTCAGGACAAAAAATGGGGAAAAAATCCCAAAAAATCAGAAAAAAACCCCCAAAAAATTTAGAAAAAAGAACCAAAAAATCCCCAAAAAATCAGGAAAAATCAAGAAAAAATCAGGAAAAATCCAAAAAAATCAGGAAAAAAATCAGGAACAATAAGGAATAATCAGGATAAAATAAGGAAAAATCAGGAAAAAAATCAGGAATAATCAGGAAAAAATGAGGGAAAAATGAGGAAAAAATCAGGAAAAATCAGGGAAAATCAGGAAAAAATCAGGAAAAATCAGAAACAAATCAGGAAAAAAATCGGGGAAAAATATTGAAAAAATCAGAAAAAAATCAGGGAAAAATGAGGAAAAAATTGGGAAAAAATGAGGAAAAAATCAGGAAAAAATCAGAAAAAATCAGGGAAAAAATCAGTAAAAAAACCCCAAAAAATCAGGAAAAATCAGGAAAAAAAACAGGAAAAAATCAGGAAAAAAATCAAAAAAAAATCAGGGAAAAAATCAGGGAAAAAATCAGGAAAATATCGGGAAAAATCAGGAAAAAATCAGGAAAAAATCAGAAAAAAAATCAGGAAAAATCAGGAAAAAAATCAGGAAAAAATCAGAAAAAAATCAGGAAAAATCAGGAAAAAAAATCAGGAAAAAATCGGGAAAACCGCAGGAAAAATCAGAAAACAAAATTCATGAAAAATCAGAAAAAAATCAGGAAAAAATCCCAAAAAATCAGGGAAAAATTAGAAAAAAATCCCAAAAAATCAGGAAAAAATCAGGAAAAAAATCCCAAAAAATCAGGAAAAAATGAGGAAATAATCCGGAAAAAAAATCAGAAAAAAATCAGGGAAAAATCGTGAAAAAAATCCAAAAAAATCAGAAAAAAATCAGGAAAAAATCCCAAAAAATCAGAAAAAATCCCCAAAAAATCAGGCAAAAATCAGGAAACCTCCCCAAAATTCCCAAATTCCCAAAATCCCATTTTTTTACCTGTTTCTGGTAGAACTCGGCGGCGCGCTGGAAGTGCCCGAGGCGGGCCAGACTGTCCCCGAGGCGCTCGCAGAGGGACATTGGGGACATTGGGGACATTGGGGACACCGAGGGGACATCGGGGTCACAGCGGGACAGCGCGGCCAGAGCACGGCACACCCGGGAGGCTGCGGACACCAAAGGGACATTTTGGGGACATTTGGGGACATTTTGGGGACATTTGGGACATTGGGGACACTGGGGACATTGGGGACATTGGGGACATTGGGGACATTGGGGACATTGGGGACATTGGGGACATTGGGGGGACATTGGGGACATTGGGGACATTGGGGGGACATTGGGGACACTTTGGGGACATTGGGGACATTTGGGACATTGGGGACATTTGGGGACACTTTGGGGACATTGGGGGCATTGGGGACATTGGGGACATTGGGGACATTGGGGACATTTGGGGGCATTGGGGACATTTGGGGGCATTGGGGGCATTGGGGACATTGGGGACAGTGGGGACATTGGGGGGATTGGGGACATTGGGGACATTGGGGACATTGGGGACATTGGGGACATTGGGGGGGCATTGGGGGGACATTGGGGGGGCATTGGGGGGACATTGGGGGGACATTGGGGACATTTGGGACATTGGGGACATTGGGGACATTGGGGGGACATTGGGGACATTGGGGACATTGGGGACATTGGGGACATTGGGGGGACATTGGGGACATTGGGGACATTGGGGACATTGGGGGGACATTGGGGACACTGGGGACATTGGGGGGGCATTGGGGACATTGGGGACATTGGGGGGACACTGGGGACATTGGGGACATTGGGGACATTGGGGACATTGGGGACATTGGGGACATTGGGGACATTGGGGGGATTGGGGACATTGGGGACATTGGGGACATTGGGGGGACATTGGGGACATTGGGGGGACATTGGGGACATTTGGGGACATTGGGGACATTGGGGGGACATTGGGGACACTGGGGACATTGGGGGGACATTGGGGACATTGGGGACATTGGGGACATTGGGGGGACATTGGGGGGACATTGGGGACATTGGGGACATTGGGGGACATTGGGGACATTGGGGGACATTGGGGGGACATTGGGGACATTGGGGACATTGGGGACATTGGGGACATCGGGGGGACATTGGGGACATTGGGGACATTGGGGACATTGGGGACATTGGGGACATTGGGGACATTTGGGGCCATTTTTATGCCATTTTTTGCCATTTTGGTGCCGTTTTTGACCCTTTTTTTTCAATTTTGGCCCAATTTTTTGCCATTTGATGCCCCCAGGGACATTTTAGGGACATTTGGGGACATTTTTTTCCATTTTTAGCCATTTTTGTGCCATTTTTTGGCCTTTTTATGCCATTTTTTGCCATTTTTGTGTCCCCAGGGACATTTTGGGACATTTTAGGGACATTTAGGGACATTTTTTGCCATTTTTTGACCTTTTGGTGTCCCCCAGGGACATCTGGGGACATTTGAGGACATTTTTGTGCCATTTTTGCCATTTTATTTGCCATTTTGGTGCCATTTTTTGCCCTTTTGCCATTTTTTTGCCATTTTTGTGCCATTTTTTACCATTTGATGCCCCCAGTGACATTTTGGGGACATTTGGGGACATTTTAGGGACATTTGGGGACATTTTTTGCCCTTTTTTGCTATTTTTGTGCCCTTTTTCACCATTTTTTGCCATTTCAGTGGCCCTGAGGGACATTTTGGGGACATTTGGGGACATTTGAGGACATTTGGGGACATTCTGGGGCCATTTTTTGCCATTTTGGTGCAATTTTTTGCCGTCTTTTGCCCTTTTGGTGCCACTTTTTGCCATTTTTTGCAATTTTGGTGCCATTTTTTGCCATTTGATGCCCCCAGGGACATTTTTTGGCCATTTTGGTGCCATTTTTGCCATTTTGATGCCATTTTTGGCTTTTTTTTTCCCTTTTGGTGCCATTTTTTTGCCGTTTGGGTGCCCCCAGTGACATTTTGGGGCCATTTTGGGGCCATTTTGGTGCAATTTTTGACCCTTTTTTTTCAATTTTTAGCCATTTTTTACCATTTGATGTCCCCAGGGACATTTGGGGACATTTTGGGGACATTTAGGGCCATTTTTGTGCCATTTTGATGGCATTTTTAGCCATTTTTTGCCACTTTGGTGCCATTTGTTGCCATTTTTTGCCTTTTTGGTGCCATTTTGTGCCATTTTGTGCCATTTTGTGCCATTTTGGTGCCATTTTTGACCTGTTTTTATCAATTTTTAGCCGTTTTTTGCTGTTTGGGTGCCCCCAGGGACATTTTAGGGACATTTTGGTGCCATTTGGGGCCATTTTTTGCCATTTTTGCCACTTTTTACCCTTTTGGGGCCGTTTTTTGCCATTTTGGTGCCACCTGGGCCACTTTTGGTGCCATTTGTTGCCATTTTTTTTCCTTTTGGTGCCATTTTTTGTCTTTTTTTGGCCTTTTGGTGCCATTTTTGCTGTTTTTGCCACTTTGGTGCCATTCTTTTCCATTTGGATGCCCCCAGGGACATTTTGGGGAAATTTTGGGGACATTTAGGGACATTTTAGTGCCATTTTTGCCATTTTGGTGCCATTTTTGGCTTTTTTTTTCCCTTTTGGTGCCATTTTTTTGCCGTTTGGGTGCCCCCAGTGACATTTTGGGGCCATTTTGGTGCCATTTTTTGCCCTTTTTTTGCCATTTTTTGCCATTTTTTTGCCATTTGATGCCCCCAGGGACATTTTGGGGACATTTTGGGGACATTTTTTGCCATTTTGGTGCCATTTTTTGCCCTTTTGGTGCCATTTTTGACCCATTTTTTTTCATTTTTTATCCATTTTTTTGCCATTCTGGTGCCCCCAGTGACATTTTGGGGACATTTTGGTGCCATTTTGGTGCCATTTTGGTGCCATTTTTGACCCTTTTTTTCAATTTTTAGCCATTTTTTGCCACTATGGTTCCATTTTTTTGCCGTTTGGGTGCCCCCAGGGACATTTTGGGGACATTTTGGGGACATTTTTTGGTGCTATTTTTGACCCATTTCTTTCAACTTTTAGCGATTTTTAGCCATTTTTTGCCATTTGATGCCACCAGTGACATTTTGGGGCCATTTTGGGGACATTTTTAGCCATTTTTTGCCCTTTTGGTGCCGTTTTTTGCAGTTTCGGTGCCCCCAGGGACATTTTGGGGAGATTTTGGGGACATTTGGGAACATTCTGGGGCCATTTTTGTGCCATTTTTGCAATTTTTTGGCCTTTTGGTACCCTTTTTTTCAAATTTTAGTGATTTTTTTCCATTCCGGTGCCCCCAGGGACATTTTGGGGACATTTTGGGACATTCTGGGGATAATTGGGGACATTTGGGAACATTCTGGGGCAATTTTTGCCTTTTTTTTCAATTTTTAGCCATTTTTTGCCATTTGATGCCCCCAGGGACATTTGGGGACATTTTGCTGCCATTTTGGGGCCATTTTTGTGCATTTTTGCCATTTGGGGCCATTTTGGTGCCATTTTTGACCCATTTTTTTCAATTTTTATGCCGTTTTTTGCCATTTGGGTGCCCCCAGGGACATTTGGGGCCATTTTTGGGACATTTTGGTGCCATTTTTAGCCATTTTTAGCCATTTTGGTGCCATTTTTGACCCTTTTTATTCAATTTTTAGCCATTTTTTTGCCATTTGATGTCCCCAGGGACATTTGGGGACATTGGGGACATTTGGGGACATTTTGGGGACATTTGGGAACATTCTGGGGCCATTTTAGTGCCATTTCTGCCATTTTAGTGCCATTTTAGTGCCTTTTTTTGCCATTTTTGTGCCATTTTTTACCATTTGATGCCCCCAGTGACATTTTGGGGACATTTGGGGACATTTTAGGGACATTTGGGGACATTTTTTGCCCTTTTTTGCTATTTTTGTGCCCTTTTTCACCATTTTTTGCCATTTCAGTGGCCCTGAGGGACATCTAGGGACATTTGGGGACATTTGAGGACATTTGAGGACATTCTGGGGCCATTTTTTGACATTTTGGTGCAATTTTTTGCCGTCTTTTGCCCTTTTGGTGCCACTTTTTGCCATTTTTTGCAATTTTGGTGCCATTTTTAGCCATTTTTTGCCATTTTGGTGCCATTTTTTTTACCATTTGATGCCCCCAGGGACATTTTGGGGACATTTTGGTGCCATTTGGTGCCATTTTTGCCATTTTTTGGCCTTTTGGTGCCATTTTTAGCCATTTTCGGTGCCGTTTTGGTGCCGTTTTTGACCCATTTTTTTCAATTTTTAGCAGTTTTTTTGCCATTTGGATGCCCCCAGGGACATTTTGAGGACATTTTGGTGCCATTTGGTGCCATTTTTGTGCCATTTTTAGCCATTTTGGTGCCCCTAGGTTCCATTTTTTGCCATTTCGATGTCCCCCAGGGACATTTGGGGCCATTTTTTGCCATTTTGGCCCCATTTTTTGCCACTTCGGTGACATTTTTTTTCCTATTTGGGGCCATTTTTCTGCCATTTTTGCCATTTGGTGCCATTTTTGACCTATTTTTTTTCAATTTTTACCCATTTTTTTTCCCATTTGGGTGCCCCCAGTGACATTTGGGGACATTTTGGGGACATTTGGGAACATTCTGGGGCCATTTTGGTGCCATTTTTTGCCATTTTTGTGCCATTTTGATGCCATTTGATGTCCCCAGGGACATTTGGGGACATTTTGGGACATTCTGGGGATATTTGGGGACATTGGGGACATTCTGGGGCCATTTTGGTGCCGTTTTTTTCCATTTTTTGCCATTTTGATGCCATTTTTTGCCATTTGATGCCCCCAGGGACATTTTGGGGACATTTGGGGACATTTGAGGACATTTGGGGACATTTAGGGCCATTTTTGTTTCATTTTTGTGCCAATTTGGTGCCGTTTTTTGCCATTTTGGTGCCATTTTTATGCCATTTTTGTGCCATTTTGCTGCCCCCAGGGACATTTTAGGGATATTTGGGGAAATTTAGGGACATTTTGGGGACCTTTAGAGCCATTTTTGTGCCATTTTTTGACCTTTTGGTGCCATTTTTTGCCCTTTTGGTGCCATTTTGGTGCCATTTTTGACCCATTTTTTGTCATTTTTTATCCATTTTTTTTCCATTTCGGTGCCCCCAGTGACATTTTGGGGACATTTTTGTGCCATTTTAGTGCCATTTTTTGCCATTCTGGTGCCATTTTTTGCCAGTTGATGCTCCCAGGGACATTTTGGGGACATTTGGGGACATTTGAGGACATTTGGGGCCATTTTTGTTCCATTTTTGTGCCATTTTTGCCATTTGGGGCCATTTTGGTGCCATTTTTAGCCGTTTTTTGCCATTTTGGTGCCATTTTTTGCCATTTGGGTGCGCCCAGGGACATTTTGGGGACATTTAGGGACATCTTAGTGCCATTTTTGCCATTTTTTGCCCTTTTGGTGCCATTTTTTGCCATATTGGTGCCATTTTTGGGCCATTTGTTGCCATTTTTGCCATTTTTTGCCCTTTTGGTGCCATTTTTGGGCCATTTGTTGCCATTTTTGCCATTTTTTGCCATATTGGTGCCATTTTTGGGCCATTTGTTGCCATTTTTGCCATTTTTTTGCCCTTTTGGTGCCATTTTTGGGCCATTTGTTGCCATTTTAGCCATTTTTGTGCCATTTTTTGCCATTTGGTGCCATTTTGGTGCCGTTTTTGTGCCATTTTTTGGCCTTTTGGTGCCATTTTTTGCCATTTGGGTGCCCCCAGGGACATTTGGGGACATTTTGGGGCCATTTTTTGCTGTTTTGGTGCCGGTTTTGACCCTTTTTTTTCAATTTTTAGCCATTTTTAGCCATTTTTTTCCATTCCAGTGCCCCCAGGGACATTTTGGGGACATTTTGGGACATTTCAGGGACATTTTGGGGCCATTTGGTGCCAAACTGACCGTGTCGGAGGCAGGTGCGGACGTGTCTCCCTTGGGCGCCGTGGGCGATGCCGAGAGCCCGAGCGCGGCGCAGCGCCCGACGCCCGGCGCCGAAATCCCCCCGCGCCAGCTGCACCTGCAAAATAGCCAGGGAATTCATGGAATTACCGTGGAAATCACGGAAAAATACACCCAATTCCCGAAATTCACGTGAAATTCCCAAAAAATTCAACACAATTCCCAAAATTCCTGTGGATTCCACGGAAAAATCCCACCAAATTCACGAAAATATCCCACAGAATTCCTGAAAACATCCCACAGAATTCCTGAAAATATCCCACGGAATTCACGGAATTCCCGTGGAATTCACGAAAAAATTCCACCAAATTCCTGAAATTCACGTGGAATTCACGAAAATATCCCACAGAATTCCTGAAATTATCCCACCGAATTCCCAAAATTCCCATGGAATTCACGGAAAATTCAATGAAATTCCCGTGGAATTCCCGAAAATAGCCACAGAATTCCCAAAAATATCCCACAGAATTCCCAAAGTTCCCGTGAAATTCCCAAAAAATTCAACACAATTCCCGAAATTCCCGTGAAATTCCCAAAAAATTCAACACAATTCTCAAAAATATCCCACAGAAGTCCTGAAATTGCCATGGAAATCATGGAAAATATCCACAGAATTCCCAAAAATATCCCACCGAATTCCCGAAATTCACGTGGAACTCACAAAAATATTCCACAAAATTCCCAAAATTTACGTGGTGGAACTCCCGAAAAATTCACCAGAATTCCTGAAATTCCCATGGATCCCACAGAAATATCCCACAGAATTCACGAAAAATTCCACAGAATTCCTGAAAATATCCCACAGAATTCCCGAAAATATCCACAGAATTCCCAAAATTCCCGTGGATTCCACGGAAATATCCACAGAATTCACGAAATTCCCGTGAAATTCCAAAAAAATTCAACAGAATTCCCGAAATTCCCGTGAAAATCACAGAAAAAATAATAAAAAAATTCAGGAAAAAAAAATCAGGGGAAAAAACCAAAAAAAATGGGAAAAAATCAGGAAAAATTCAGAAAAAAAATCAGAAAAAATTTTTTATGAAGCAGAATAAAATCCCTTCCAAAAATCAGGAAAAAGTAAGAAAAAGAATCAGGAAAAATCACAAAAAAAACAGGAAAAAAAAAAGGAAAAAAATCATCAAAAATCGCCAAAAAACCCTCCAAAATTCCTGAAAAAATTCCGGAAAATTCCGGAAAATTCCCGAAAATTCCCAAATTTCCTGACCTGTCCGATGGCGGCCTCGGCCAGGAGCCGCGGGGGCCGGAGGCTCCGCAGGAAATCCGGGAATTCCCTCCCAAAATCCCAAAATTCCGGGAAAAATCCCAAGAAAATCCCAAAAAATCCCCAAAGAAATCAAAGCATTCCTAAAATTTTCCAAAAATTCCAAAAAATTCCCAAAAAAATGCCCAAAATTCCAAAAGCGTCTGAACACTCAAAATACACTCGAAAAATCGAAAAAAAATCAGAAAAAAAATCGAAAAAATTCACAAAAAAATCACCAAAAATCACCAAAAATTCCCCAAAAAATTTCAAAAAAATTCCAAAAAATTCCAAAAAAATTCCCAACATTCCAGAAGTGTCTGAACACTCCGAAAACACTCGAAAAATCGAAAAAAAAAATCGAAAGAATTCACAAAAAAATCACCAAAAATCAGCAAAAATTCTGGAAAAAATTCCGGAAAATTCCCAAAAATTCCCAAAATTTTGTGGAAAAATTCCCAAAATTCCAAAAGTGTAAAAACACTCAAAAAACACTTGAAAAATTGAAAAAAAAAATCACAAAAAATTTGAAAAAAATCACAAAAAATCACCAAAAATCACAAAAAAACCCCTAAAAAAACCCCAAAAATTCCCAAAAAAATTCCCGAAAATTCCCAAAATTTTCTGGAAAAATTCCCAAAATTCCAGACGTGTCTGAACATTTAAAAAACACCCCAAACTTGAAAAAAAAATCAGAAAAAAATTGAAAAAAATTACAAAAAATTGCCAAAAAACCCTAAAAAAGCCCCAAAAATTCCCAAAAAATTTCCAAAAATTCCCAAGAATTCCGGAATTTCCTGACCTGTCCGATGGCGGCCTCGGCCTCGGCCAGGAGCCGCGGGGGCCGGAGGCTCCGCAGGAAATCCGGGAATTCCCTCCCAAAATCCTTAAATTATGGGAAAATCCCAAGAAAATCCAAAAAAATCCCCAAAAAATCCTAAAGAATTCCCAAAATTTTCTGGAAAAATTCCCAAAAAGTCCCAAAAAATTCCCAAAATTTCAGAACAATCTGGAGAGTCAAAAAATATCCACAAAATAAAAAAATTCGCTAAATACTTGAAAAAAATTGCTAAAACTCGCAAAAAATCCCTGAAAAATCATAATGAATTCCCAAAATTTTCTGGAAAAATTCCCAAAAATTCCCAAAAAATTCCCAAAATTCTCGAAGTGTAAAAACACTCAAAAAACACTTAAAAAACACTAAAAAAATTGAAAAAAAATCAGAAAAAAATCGAAAAAATCACCAAAAAATCACCAAAAATTCCCAAAAATTCCCCAAAAAATCCCAAAAATTCCCAAAAATTCCCAAAATTTTCTGGAAAAATTCCCAAAATTCCAGAAGCATCTGAACACTCAAAAGACACTCAAAAAATCGAAACAAAATCCAAAAAAAATCGAAAAAAATCACCATAAGATCACCAAAAAATTCCGAAAATTTCCCAAAAATTCCCAAAAAAATTCCCAAAATCCCCAAAAATTCCGGAATGTGCTGACCTGTCCGATGGCGGCCTCGGCCTCGGCCAGGAGCCGCTGGGGCCGGAGGCTCCACAGGAAATCCGGGAATTCCCTCCCAAAATCCTAAAATTCCGGGAAAATCCCACGAAAATCCCAAAAAATCCCCAAAAAATCATAAAGAATTCCTAAAATTTTCTGGAAAAATTCCCAAAAACTTCCCAAAAAATTCCCCAAATTCCAGAAGCATCTGGAGAGTCAAAAAATAGCCACAAAATTTAAAAGTTCACTAAAAATCACAAAAAAATTGCAAAAAATTGCAAAAAAACCACAAAAATAGCCAAAAATTCCCAAAATTTTCTGGAAAAATTCCCAAAAATTCCCAAAAATTCCTCAAAAATTCCCAAAATTTCAGAAGCATCTGAACACTCAAAAAACACTCAAAAAATCAAAAAAAAAATTCAGAAAAAAATCACAAAAAAACCCTAAAAACCCCCAAAATTCCCGAAAAAATTCCAGAAAATCCCCAAAAAAATTCCCAAAAATTCCCAACAAAATTCCAAAATTTCCAAAAATATCTGGATTTAAGAAAATACAGGAAATCTTTTAAAAATTCGCTAAAAACTTGAAAAAAATCGCAAAAAATCGCAAAAAATCCCCAAAAAATCCTAATAAATTTCCAAAAATTCCCAAAAAATTCCCAAAAAATCCCAAAAAATTCCCAAAAATTCACAAAAAATTCCCAAAATTCCAGAAGTGTAAAAACACTCAAAAAACACTCAAAAATTGAAAAAAAATCAGAAAAAAACGAAAAACTCACCAAAAAAATCGCCAAAAATCACAAAAAAACCCTAAAAAAACCCCAAAAATTCCCGAAAAAGTTCCCGAAAATTCCCGAAAATTCCCAAATTTCCTGACCTGTCCGATGGCGGCCTCGGCCTCGGCCAGGAGACGCGGGGGCCGGAGGCTCCGGGCGCATTCCCGGGCGCGCTCGAGGCTCCGAAGGGATTCCGGGAATTGTCGGCGGCGCTGCTGGAGCAGCCCCAGATTGAAATGGGCCCGGAACTGATCCTCCAGGGAATGGCACTGCCTGGAAAAATTCCCAAAATTCCCACTGAAATTCCTGAAATTCCCATCCCAGATCCTCCAGGGAATGGCACTGCCTGGAAACATTCCCAAAATTCCAATCAAAATTCCCGAAATTCCGATCAAAATTCCCAAATTCCCATCCCAGATCCTCCAGGGAATGGCACTGCCTGGAAAATTCCCGAAATTCCCATCAAAATTCCCGAAATTCTGATCCTAAATCCTGAAATTCCCATCCCAGATCCCGAAATTCCCATCCCAGATCCTCCAGGGAATGGCACTGCCTGGAAACATTCCCAAAATTCCCAGTGAAATTCCCAAAATTCTGATCGAAATTCCCCAAATTCCAATCGAAATTCCCAAATTCCCATCCCAGATCCTCCAGGGAATGGCACTGCCTGGAAAAATTCCCAAAATTCCAATCAAAATTCCTGAAATTCCGATCCCAAATCCCCAAAATCCAAATTCCCAAAATTCCCACCTAAACTTCCTGAAATTCCCATTGAAATTCCTGAAATTCCCATCCCAAATCCCAAAATTCCCAAATTTCCCAGTTAAATTCCCAAAATTCTCAGTGAAATTTCCAAAATTCCCATTGAAATTCCCCAAATTCCCGAAATTCCCATCCCAGATCCTCCAGGGAATGGCACTGCCTGGAAAATTCCCAAAATTCCCATCCAAAATTCCCGAAATTCCCATTGAAATTCCCAAAATTTTGATCCCAAATTCCCAAAATCAAAATTCCCAAAATTCCCATCCCAAATTCCCCAAATTTCAGCTAGAAATTCCCAAAATTTCAGTCCCAAACACCCAAAAATCCTCTCCAAAATTCCCATTGAAATTCCCAAAATTCCCATCTAAAATTCCCAAAATTCCCATTGAAATTCCCGAAATTCCCATCCCAGATCCTCCAGGGAATGGCACTGCCTGGAAAAATTCCCAAAAAATCCCTGTGAAATTCCCAAAATTCCCATCCTAAATCCCCAAAATCAAAATTCCCGAAATTCCCACCTAAAATTCCCAAAATTCCCATTGAAATTCCCAAAATTTAAGTCCAAAACACCCAAAAATCCTCTCCAAAATTCCCAGAATTCCCAAAATTCCCATTGAAATTCCCAAAATTCCCATTGAAATTCCCAAAATTCCGATCCTAAATCCCGAAATTCCCATCCCAGATCCTCCAGGGAATGGCACTGCCTGGGAAAATTCCCGAAATTCCCATCGGAATTCCCGAAATTCTGATCCTAAATCCTGAAATTCCCATCCCAGATCCCGAAATTCCCATCCCAGATCCTCCAGGGAATGGCACTGCCTGGAAAACATTCCCAAAAAATCCCTGTGAAATTCCCAAAATTCCCATCCCAGATCCCCAAAATCCAAATTCCCAAAATTCCCATGTAAAATTCCCAATATTCCCACTGAAATTCCCAAAATTCCCATTGAAATTCCCATTGAAATTCCCAAAATTCCCACTGAAATTCCAAAAATTCCCATCGAGATTCCCGAAATTCCCACTGAAATTCCAAAAATTCCCATTGAAATTCCCATTGAAATTCCAAAAATTCCCACTGAAATTCTGATCAAAATTCCCATCGAAATTCCCGAAATTCCCATTGAAATTCGCGAAATTCCAATCAAAATTCCCAAATTCCCATCCCAGATCCTCCAGGGAATGGCACTGCCTGGAAACATTCCCAAAATTCCCAGTGAAATTCCCGAAATTCCCATCCCAAATCCCTAAAGTCAAAATTCCCAAAATTCCCATCCCAAATTCCCAAAATTCCAGCCAGAAATTCCTGAAATTTCAGTCCGAAACACCCAAAAATCCTCTCCAAACTTCCCGTTAAAATTCCCAAAACTCCCATTGAAATTCCCAAAATTCCCATTGAAATTCCCAAAATCCAAATTTCCAAAATTCCCATCTAAAATTCCCGAAACTCCCATTGAAATTCCCAAAATTTCCATCCCAAATTCCCGAAATTCCCATTGAAATTCCCGAAATTCCCACTGAAATTCCTGAAATTCCCATCCCAGATCCTCCAGGGAATGGCACTGCCTGGAAAATTCCCAAAAAATCCCTGTGAAATTCCCAAAGTTCCCACTGAAATTCCCAATATTCCCATTGAAATTCCCAAAATCCAAATTCCCAAAATTCCCACCTAAAATTCCCAAAATTCCCACCTAAAATTCCCAAAATTCCCATTGAAATTCCTGAAATTTCAATCACAAATTCCCATTGAAATTCCCGAAATTCCTGAAATTCCCATTGAAATTCCCATCCCAGATCCTCCAGGGAATGGCACTGCCTGGAAAAATTCCCAAAATTCCAATCAAAATTCCCAAAATTCCCGAAATTCCAATCAAAATTCCCAAAATTCCCATTGAAATTCCCAAAATTCCCATTGAAATTCCCGAATTTTCCATCCCAAATTCCTGAAATTCCGATCGAAATTCCCAAAATTCCCATCCCTGATCCTCCAGGGAGTGGCACTGCCTGGAAAATTCCCAAAATTCCAATCAAAATTCGCACAATTCCAATCAAAATTCCCAAATTCCCATCCCAGATCCTCCAGGGAGTGGCACTGCCTGGAAAATTCCCAAAAAATCCCTGTGAAATTCCCGAAATTCTGATCCTAAATCCTGAAATTCCCATCCCAGATCCTCCAGGGAATGGCACTGCCTGGAAAATCGGGATAAAATTCCCATTGAAATTCCCGAAATTCCTGAAATTCCCATCCCAGATCCTCCAGGGAATGGCACTGCCTGGAAAAATTCCCGAAATTCCAATCAAAATTCCCAAATTCCCATCCCAAATCCCCAAATTCCAGATTCCCGAAATTCCCATTTAAAATTCCCAAAATTTCAGTCCCAAACACCCAAAAATCCTCTCCAAACATCCCAGAATTCCCAAAATTCCCAAATCCCAGATTCCCAAAATACCCATTGAAATTCCCAAAATTCCCATTGAAATTCCCAAAATTCCCATGGAAATTCCCAAAATTCCCATCTAAAATTCCCAAAATTTAAGTCCCAAACACCCAAAAAATCCTCTCCAAAATTCCCATTGAAATTCCCAAAATTCCCATTGAAATTCCCGAAATTTCCATCCCAAATTCCCAAAATTCCCATTGAAATTCCCAAAATTCCAAACCCAAATCCCCAAAATCCAAATTCCCAAAATTCCCCAAATTCCCACTGAAATTCCTGAAATTCTGATCCTAAATCCTGAAATTCCCATCCCAGATCCTCCAGGGAATGGCACTGCCTGGAAAAATTCCCGAAATTCCAATCGAAATTCCCGAAATTCCCGAAATTCCCATCCCAGATCCTCCAGGGAATGGCACTGCCTGGAAACATTCCCAAAATTCCCATCAAAATTCCCGAAATTCCCAATGAAATTTCCGAAATTTCCATCCCAAATTCCCAAAATTCCCATTGAAATTCCCGAAATTTCCATTGAAATGCCCAAAATTTCAGCCACAAATTCCGAAAATTTCAGTCCCAAACACCCAAAATTCCCATCGAAATTCCCAAAATTTCCATCCCAAATTCCCAAAATTCCCAGTGAAATTCCCAAAATTCCCATTGAAATTCCCAAAATTTTGATCCCAAATTCCCAAATTTAAGATTCCCAAAATTCCCATCTAAAATTCCCAAAATTCCAGCCACAAATTCCCAAAATTTCAGTCCCAAACACCCAAAAATCCTCTCCAAACTTCCCGTTAAAATTCCCAAAACTCCCATTGAAATTCCCAAAATTCCCATCGAAATTCCTGAAATTTCAATCACAAATTCCCAAAATTCCCACTGAAATTCCCGAAATTGCCATTGAAATTCCTGAAATTTCCATCCCAAATTCCCAAAATTCCCAGTGAAATTCCTGTAATTCTGATCCTAAATCCTGAAATTCCCATCCCAGATCCTCCAGGGAATGGCACTGCCTGGAAAACATTCCCGAAATTCCCAAAATTCCAATCAAAATTCCCAAATTCCCATCCCAGATCCTCCAGGGAATGGCACTGCCTGGAAAATTCCCAAAATTCCCACTGAAATTCCCGAAATTCTGATCCTAAATCCCCAAAATCCAAATTCCCAAAATTCCCATCTAATATTCCTGAAATTCCCGTTGAAATTCCCAAAATTCCCATTGAAATTCCCAAAATTCCCATCTAAGATTCCCAAAATTCCTGTCAGAAATTCCCAAAATTCCTATCACAAATCCCAAAATTCCCATCCTAAATCCCCAAAATCCAAATTCCCAAAATTCCAGCCACAAATTCCCAAAATTTAAGTCCCAAACACCGAAAAATCCTCTCCAAAATTCCCATTGAAATTCCCAAAATTCCCATTGAAATTCCCGAAATTTCCATCACAAATTCCCGAAATTCCCACTGAAATTCCCAAAATTCCCAACCCAAATCCCCAAAATCCAAATTCCCAAAATTCCCCAAATTCCCATTGAAATTCCTGAAATTCCCATTGAAATTCCCAAAATTCCCATCCTAAATCCCCAAAGTCAAACTTCCCAAAACTCCCACCCCAAATTCCCAAAATTTCAGCCACAAATTCCCAAAATTTCAGTCCCAAACACCCAAAAATCCTCTCCAAAATTCCCATTGAAATTCCCAAAATTCCCATTGAAATTCCCAAAATCCAAATTCCCAAAATTCCCATTGAAATTCCCAAAATTCCCATCCCAGATCCTCCAGGGAATGGCACTGCCTGGAAAAATTCCCAAAATTCCCATCAAAATTCCCAAGATTCCGATCCTAAATCCTTAAAGTCAAAATTCCCAAAATTCCCATCTAATATTCCCAAAATTCCAGCCACAAATTCCCAAAATTTCAATCTCAAATACCCAAAAGTCGTCTCCAAACTTCCCATTGAAATTCCCGAAATTCCCATTGGAATTCCCGAAATTCCCATCCCAAATCCCGAAATTCCCATCCCAGATGCTCCAGGGAGTGGCACTGCCTGGAAAAATTCCCAAAATTCCCACTGAAA